ATATGGACTCTTGCACGGCAATCATGTAAAACAGTAATTATTATTTTTATCTTTTGACTAACATTGTACATATTTAAATTTGTGTATTTTATTCTTGTACTGATGATTCTTCCGTGTTGAAATAAAGTGTATGTATGTATGTATGTATGAACATCCGATACGACACCACACTCGGACTATGCATCAAAATGGAACACTGCTATGCAACAAGCCTACGCACTCGCACACAAGGCGACTTCAAAGAATGCGGCTAAGGGTACGAAGAATTACGATCAACGAGTCAGGTGTTCAAGTCTTGCACCGAGAGATCGGTTGCACTAACGCAACCTCACGCTTAGAGGAGGACCAGGTAAACTTAGAGCGTATTGGGAGGAAGCTGTAGATGTTGTTGAATCGCGTAAAGGTTCGGACAACCCAGTATATGAAGTGAAGCCAGAGCCAGGTCATGGTTGCAACCGCACACTTCACCGTAATCTCTTATTACCATGTGATTATCTTCCGGTTGAAAATTGGCCAGAAATCTATCGGACGGTTATTAGAAGAGTTCCTCCGAGAAGTCCCATCTCAAAACCCGGCAACGAAGAAACAGACGAAGAAGTGAGCGTAGATGAAAGTGAAGATGAAATTGGCATTACTTGGAACACTGACTAAATTAATAATGCTGCAGCCGCAGACGGAGATTTCGTTGATGAACCGAACCCAGACATCGCCGTCGATGAAGCAGATGGTGGCGACGCCACAGACGAGTCTCGTGCTGATGATGAAAACCATGAAATAACTGGCGATGAACAGGCGATAGAAGACTCTACAGGCGATGAACAAGAAGTACGTGATGTGCGTTCGCAACGAAACAAGCAACCGCCCCAAAGATTAACTTACCTCGGCCCAGGGAACCCAGTTTGCCTTAGACCCATCTGCAGCAAAGTCGCCAATACATTTTACCCCATGCCACCATACCTACCATCTATGACACCTTACCTACACAGCCAGAAACGCCACAGACTTGTTCCAAGTTGTCAACTTTACCGGCTTGTTGCAACTTGTCAACAAGTTGCAACAAGCTTGGTAATTTCATCAAGTTGCAACAAGCTTGTTAAAATCAACCTTGTTGCAACCTCCCAGCGGGCAAAATGACGTTTATCCAACGTTGAATCAACGTTGGAAATGACCTTCCAGACGTTGGATAGACGTTGAAAAAGGGTTGACCATGCAAATTGGATCGACGTTACTGTTTCGACGTTGAAACAACGTTGAAATTAGGTTGCCAATCTCGTCAACCATAATTCAACGTTGAATCCATGTTAAAACAATGTTGAGATTGGTTCACAAATCGACGTCGTACATTTAACCATGAATGAACGTTAATTCGACGTCTGTTGGCTGCTGTTGAACCAATGTTTGTAAAACAACGTCAGAGCAACGTAGATATTAGGTTGTCGACGTCGCAACCTTTTTTCTACCAAATTTCAACGTTGAAACAACGTCGTGTGCCCGGTGGGCTGTCATTTGCAGACTTGTTGCAACTTGTTGAAACAACTTGCAGCAAGCCTGTGGATAACAAGTCTTGACAAGTCTGTTAGAACAACTTGTGACAAGCTTGTTGAATCAACAATGCTGTTGCAAGTTGTTAAAACAGACTTGTTGCAAGTTGATATTATCAAGCCAGCATCAAGTTGTTGGAATAACTTGTAACAGCATTGTTCTTAACAGATTTGTTGCAAGCTGACATTTTCAAGCCTGCGTCAAGTTGTTGGAACAACCTTGATGCAAATTGCGGCCTCATGATCAAGCTAATTTAAACTTGAGACGTTACAAACGTTTTATTAATTGTAGTTATTATGAACATTTCAACAACCAACTATTTGAAAAACATATTTGCGTTTATATAAGCAAACGTAGTTGTAATTGTCGCGAAAATTTAAACGCTTGGCCGTCTTTGTGTCGGCTCGCTACAAAATAGTACGTACCGATTATTTCGCCAATTCGCCATGTGGTTCATAATTTTTCAGCAAATGGCTTCGCCAATTCAGAGCAATAGCTGGCAACTTTCGCATTTTTAATTTAGGTTTCTGAACTGATGAAGATCCGGGCTTACGGATCGAAAGCTTTGTAGTAATAAATTTACGTGGTGTTTCCACAAACAAAACTATTATATGTTTTATCGCCATGCAAACATACAAAGAACTTATTAAGTCTTGACAAGTCCGATAAAACAACTTGCAGCAAGTCTGTTAAAATCAGGCTTGTTGCCACTTGACATTTGCAGACTTGTTGCAAGTTAATAACAAATTTACTTGACTTGTTCACAGCTATACAGACTTTGTTTATTGTTTGGCTATTAAATTCGGCCGTGAAAATCAGTTTCATCAATTATTATCGCTCTATATACATGAATATTTAACAATGGATATGTTTGTATTTTAAATCAAAAGGATTATTTTGCAGTCAGCAGTACGTCTATACAGCTATTTCGGATGAATAAATTAGATAAGTTGAAATCGACAGCTGTAGAAAAATTCTCGCAAGTCGCAAATGAAATAATTAAAAATTTTATAAAAATGAAAATTTAGGAACAACTTGCTGACGTGTGCTATTGCTATATTTCTTTAATCTGATTGGATAAAGGCGTATGCACACGTCATCATTCCTCGTTGCAATTGGACGAAATATTACAAACATATCAATCACGTAATCATGTTCAGTTGTTTTTGTCTTTTACAGTTTGTCACTTTGTCAGTTTACTTTTTGATTCAATTATTCAAACAAAATTTCAACAACCGCGAAGTGCGAACTAAAATAGTAAAATCAAACACGTTCAAAAGGAAGCGAAAAAAGCTCAAAGCTGGTTTGATCTTGAAAAAATTGGCAATGAGAATACAAGATCTAGAGCTTAAGAAATGAAAAATACATAAACAACCGAGTCTTCATCGTTGATATGAATATGAAATTCGTTACACAATTTCTTTCCAATTTCAAGTGAAAAATCTGCGAACGAGGAAGACGCCTTTTTGAACCTTTGTGTATGTACTATTTTGAAGAAAAAGATGCAAGTAGGTTGTCATATTTCGGTCGCACTTAAAGACCTTTTAATTTTGAGAATTGTTTACGATAAGAACCTTTCTTTGTCGTATTTTTTCGGCTGTTTTGCTCAAAAATTATCTCGCAAGTTGGTTATATAAAAGTCTTGTTATTTTACGAAACACTACAACCGAAATATGGCAACTTGTTTGGCCGTTTTTGTTCAAAATAGTGCATACACGAAGCTACATAAGGCGCTTTCCTCACTCAGCATTTTGACAACTTGCATCAAGTCTGTGGATGACAACTTGTATCAAGTCTGCAGTTCACAAATTGCATCAAGCCTGCAGTTCACAACTTGCATCAAGTCTGCAGTTCACAACTTGCATCAAGCCTGCAGTTCACAACTTGCATCAAGTCTGCAGTTCACAACTTGCAGCAAGCCTGCAGTTCACAGCTTGCATCAAGTCTGCAGTTCACAACTTGCATCAAGTCTGTTGACAACTTGCAACAGACTTGTTGTCAACAAGCTGTTGCAAACCATGCGAACGCATCCTCATATCGACTTGTCGACAACAAGTCGGTTCCAAGTTGTCAACAGACTTGTTGCAACTTGCGCGTTTCTGGCTGTGTACCACCTATGCCACCCGTAGTACCTACTCCAAACGAAGTACAACCCCTTGGATCAGTACCTCTAAAGTGTCTTCCTATACCTTGTCACCTGTATACGTGTCCCCTTGTGATACCTCCGAGCTGGCAAAACCCACCTTTCCCCTACCCAATCCAGTCATATTAAACTTATACCTTAGTTATTGAGTTAGAACGTTATGAGAAGAAAAAAAAAACAAAAAAAAAACGGTGTAACTTAGCGAAGCAAGACTTTTTGCTGAATATTAATCAGAATGGTTATTGAAGGACGGTAGTGAGATTTTGCGAGATGAGACTGATCACCCCAGTCTAGGAATCATTCAAGATCCCGAACACGAAATAGCTACTTGCATGAGCATAAGAATTATCCTGTATTAATTTGTTGAAATAGTGATTTCATTTAGAGGGGGAGAGTGTACCCCACCGGAATTAGCACCCGGAAAATAGATACCGGAACTTGTTATAGTCTGACGTAACGGGAAAATGCCCAGATATTGAACACATGTTGTCTTGATATAGTTTTCAGAGTTATCGAAAAAGCGTTGTAAAATACGAGGAAAACGTACGAAATAAATATAAGTAATACACCGAACCCGTGTGGAAACTTAAGTAACATAATTGGGATGGTGGTGATGGTGCAGTGATGATGATTGGTGGAGGAGGGAGTGATTGTGAAAGAGCAGATCATGGTATTGGAATAACAGAGGAGGATGCAGCGAAGTTTCGTGGAAGCCTACCTTATTATGATTTTGGTTATCGATAGCATAAAAGCAACCTATATTTTCGAAATTACTCACCACCTGATGATTCCTATACGGGTGAAACAGACTGTTGAGCACAATTTGTGTTTCGTAAACCAAAAACTTAAGCTATATACATATATATATATATATATATATATATATATATATATATATATATATATATATATATATATATATATATATATATATATATATATATATATATATATATATATATATATGTATATATATATGTATGTATGTATATATATATGTATGTATGTATGTATATATATATATGTATGTATGTATGTATGTATGTATGTATGTATGTATGTATGTATGTATGTATGTATGTATGTATGTATGTATGTATGTATGTATGTATGTATGTATGTATGTATTGTATGTATTGTATGTATTGTATGTATTGTATGTATGTATTGTATGTATGTATGTATGTATGTATGTATGTATGTATGTATGTATGTATGTATGTATGTATGTATGTGTATGTATGTGTATGTATGTGTATGTATGTATGTGTATGTATGTGTATGTATGTATGTGTATGTATGTGTATGTATGTGTATGTATGTGTATGTATGTGTATGTATGTGTATGTATGTGTATGTATGTGT